ATACCCCCCACACACATAACCCCCCTCACCACATAACCCCAGACACAAATAACCCCCACACACACCAACCCCCACACACACATAACCCCACAACCCCACATAACCCACACACACATAACCCCCCTCACCCACACAGCCCCCCTCACCCACACATAGCCCCACACACTGGCCCCACACACACACACACACATAACCCCCACACACAAACCCCCACACACACATAACCCCTACACATAACTCCCACACACACACATAACCCCCTCACCCACATAACCCCCCCACACACAGCCCCCACACACATAACCCCCACACACAACCCCCACACACATAACCCCCACACACACACATCCCCCCACACACATAACCCCCACACACACACAAACCTCCGTACACACACATAACCCCCACACACACACACACAAGAGGACTCCCAAGCGCTCCTTCCTGAGGTAGGGAGAAAATACAGTCGTTAGTGGTGGCGGTGCTTACTAGGTGAAGGTGTGAGGTTACCATGCCTCTTTGATAACGAGGGTCCTGCTGACAGCCCGCCCCGCCGCCCCGCCCGCCCCGCTTCACCCCACTCCCGTCACGCCCATTTCCTCCTTCTCATGTCAAACCTCTCACGTCCATTTCCCCTCACGCCCCTATCACGCCCCAAACCCCACCCCCGTTCAGCCCCACCCTACACCCCTCCGCCTCGTCCAGCACCGCCCCACCCCTCACGCCCCATAGAAGATAATAAGGCCAGACTCACGAACAATCCTCACAGTGCCAAGTCATCTCCGTCACCGTGTATGCGAGTCAATAAATCCACACACCAGCTAACAGCCCTCTTTCTCACCTTACCAGCCACCACCACCCATTTAACCATCCACCACCCACCCATTTAACCATCCACACCACCCACCCATTTAACCATCCACCCACCCACCCATTTAACCATCACCTTACACCCCTCACCGCCCACACACCTCACTGGCCACACCACCCAACCACTTAAACACCCACACCACCCACCCGCCACACAACACCTGGCCATTACTTAGGCTGGTGGAGTGTCAGAGAATTATGATCGGGACTCAGAAGATGTAATGATCTAATCTCAGTTGGGGTGATGGATGACCTCCTGTGTGTGTGTGTGTGTGTGTGTGTGTGTGTGTGTGTATGTGTGTGTGTATGTATAGTAGTAGGTTACATTACGCAATCTCTAAGAAACACCAAAATAACATTCAAATCACATTCACACAACCAAATCGTCACCCAACAACAACATGCAGACGAGTAAATAAGAAGCTTGTTTAAAGAACTCTTAAGAAGATGTTTGAGAGATGAACATATTGCTGTCACTCTTTGACCATCTTTAACTTGGCGACCTTGATGAAGTCAGGGGGGTTAGGCCCTTCTCGACTCTCTCTCTCTCTCTCTCTCTCTCTCTCTCTCTCTCTCTCTCTCTCTCCTCCATCACCCCTCCCCCAACCATTCCTAATCCTCTCTTCCTCTTTCATCACTTTCCATTCCTTTTTCTTTTCTCTTCTCTCATCCCCCCTCTTTCACTATTCTTTCTCTCTCCTTCCCCTCTTCCTTCTCACTTCTTCCCATCACTCAGACCCTATTCCATCACCCCATTTCACAACCCTCTTCTTTCCCATCGCCACTTTTCACTTCCCTCTCCTTAACCATCATCTCTCTCTCTCTCTCTCTCTCTCTCTCTCTCTCTCTCTCTCTCTCTCTCTCTCTCTCTTTTCTCTGGCAATCATAAGGTATAGAAGAGTGACAATGTGCCGACACGAACAAGGTGCTTAATAATGTGTCGTGATGTCTGTCTCAGTCATGCCAAGGACACACTCTGAGGACACTTTTCCCGTTACTACCAGATCCTTCGAGGTCCTACAAATCCTTCGAGATCCTCAGTTCTGTTCCTTCTGCAGTGTACTTGTTCCCCCTGGCGTGTGGAGGAGGTTTCACCCCCCTCCTACCCCTTCAGGCGCCTTCTGCAGCACGACCTGAACTAATGACCTCCTACAGCAGTAACGAAAAACTTTCTTTGCAATAATGCCTCCTGCAGTGGTGGTGGTGGACAGGGGTGGTGGTGGTGAGTGGGGAGGGAGAGTGTGTGGAGAAGGAGGTGAAGTAGGAGGTGGAGGAGAAGAAAGGCGTTCCGGGTTGATAATGGTAATGTTAAGTTAGTTTAGGTTGAGTTATTAGACAGAGCTATGGAGAGGTTATCCAGAACGTCTACCAAGACAGCTGCACCCCTCTGGTATTCACAACATCGGGTGGGATGGACCTAATGCAAGGTGCTTTTACGCCAGACTAACCGAGGTGTTATCAGAACAGAAGCATCAACCTAGTAGCCTCGTCGTGGCCTGGTTGAGGTGTTGCCTATCCTTCTCCTTGCTCAGATCTACTGTGTCTCAGGGAAACAATATATCTTCGGCCCCTAAACCAACAACAGTCGCAGACATAGACTATGGGGCAACAGTGACCGAATGCTGCACAGAACTGCGGCCTAAAGTAACTCGGCTAGGTTAGGTTAGATTAGGTTAGGTTAGTAATTGTAGTACTAGTGGAGGAGGAGGAAGACGTGCAGGGTTGGTAATGGTGGTGGCAGCAACACAACAACGTCCGGTGTGGGAGCGTTACCCAGTGAACTAGAGAACCTTTCCCTCCTCCTTCCCTCCTTCCGTCACCGCCTCCTCCTCCTCCTCTTTCCTCCACTACCACCACTAACCTAATCTAACCCCCAAATATCACAATGATAATAACTTGACGGATACCTAACAACCCAACCTAACCTGAACCACCAGGACGACAACGTGACGTGAACCACTGAACCACTTTGACAGATGATGGGGACTCAGGTGGCTCCCAAATTAGTGAGGCCCCAGGTAGGCTCAGTGGGGCCCTGGGTTGGTTTGTTATTAGGGCCCAGGTAGTTTCATGGGGCCCAAGTGACTCAGAGGGCCCCGGGTGGGTTCAGTGGGGTCCAGGTAATTGGTGCAAGTTCCCATCCTTGGCGTCGTGGCCCACATACAGCATACACAGTTATTTACGCCTTCATAATGGCGGCTTAGAGTCACCACCCATTACCACCGCCACCACTCACCTGCTGGGGGACGCTAATGATGGACTCCTGCTGGTGGGGAGACGGGGGAAAGGAGTGGGGAGGAGGGTGGGGGGAGAGGAGGGTGGGGAGAAGAGGGGAGGGGCGATAGGAGGAAGAGGGGGCTTAATGGTTATGTGAGTGATTTGAGGAGGGTGAATTAACTCTTTATAAATGTACTGTAGTGAGACGGTCTACATACATACATACATACATACATACATACATAAACACACACCTTCAACGTCTCCACATAAACACACCACTATCCCAGCCTGACTCAAGAGCTACAGTAAGCTGGCTCCGTGGTCACTAAATACTGCCTCTCCTCATGTAAATTTATAACCACAGCTTTTCACCTTTCAGCCTTAGTTTGCATATGGCACACATCCACACAGACAGTCACAGCAACACACAGACAGACACACACTCTCACACAGACAGTCCACTCCAGCCACAGCAACACAAACAACTGAACACAGACAGACAGACAGACAGACAGACACACCATTAAAACTCAAGATTACCCAACCATAACGACACCGTACGATAGCACCCACATCCCATTTTCCCTGCTACTGTCCGTCCACTGTTATTTACTGGGGGCTCTACAGAATAACTATCCACCCCAGCCTGCACTATCCATCCCAGCCTGTACTATACACCCCAGCCTGTACTATACACCACCAGCCTGTACTATACACCTCCAGCCTGTACTATACACCCCAGCCTGTACTATCACCCCAGCCTGTACTATCACCACCAGCCTGTACTATACACCTCAGCCTGTACTATACACCCCAGCCTGTACTATACACCCCAGCCTGTACTATACACCAGCTGTACTAACAGCCTGCACTATCCATCCCAGCCTGCACTATACCCCCAGCCTGTACTATACACCCCAGCCTGTATATACACCTCAGCCTGTACTCTCCCACCCCAGCCTGTACTCCAGTGTAGTGACCCGTCCTACACTATGGGGCAGGTTGCGTGACTCCACAAAGTTCACGAGGAAGAAAAACAGTAGTCATGCGGCCTGGTGAACTGAGGGAGGAAGGGGAGGAAGAAGGAAGGGGAAGGAGGGGAGGGTAGAGGAAAAGGGGAAGAGGAGGGAGGAAAATGGAAGAAGGGGAGGAGAGGAAAAGGACAGAAAAGGAGAAGAAAACAGAGACGAGAGGGAGGGGGAGAAGGATGGGGTGAGTAAATAAGAGGACCAATGACCGACTGTCGTACTCCCACACCTTACCTCCCTCCTCTCCCTACCATACCTCCTTCCCTGTCCATCCCTCCTTCTCTCCCCTACCTTACCTCCCTCCTCTCCCCTACCATACCTCCCCTCCCTGTCCATCCTCCCTTCTCTCCCCTACCTTACCTCCTCCTCCCCCTACCATACCTCCCTCCCTGTCCATCCCTCCCTTCTCTCCCCTACCTTACCTCCTCCTCTCCCTACCATACCTCCCCTCCTGTCCATCCATCCCTTCTCTCTCCTTACCTCCCCTCCCTCCTTAGTGGTCACGCTGGCAGTGGGGAAGTGGAGGGGAGAGAAGGGGGAAGGGAGGGGGAGGGAGAAGGGAGGGAGGAAGAGGAGAAGGTGATGGAGTGGGTCAAGTCATCACTGGTGGAACAGGTCACTCAGGAGGTCACTAAGGAGGTTCTCTGGGGGTTCACTGAGGAGCTTCAATGAGGGAGTTCACTGAGGAGCTTCAATGAGGAGTTCACTGAGGGGAGTTCACTGAGGGGCTTCAATGAGGGCTTCAATGAGGGAGTTCACTGAGGGAGTTCACTGAGGAGCTTCAATGAGGGAGTTCACTGAGGGCTTAAATGAGAGGTTACTGAGGTTCACTGAGGGAGCGTCAATGAAGGAGTTCACTGAGGGGAGCTTCACTGAGGGAGTTCACTGAGGAGCTTCAATGGGGAGTTCACAGAGGAGCTTCAATGGGGAGTTCACCGAGGAAGCTTCAATGAGGGAGTTCACTGAGGAGGCTTCAATGAGGGAGTTCACTGAGGGAGCTTCAATGAGGAGTTCACTGAGGGGCTTCAATGAAGGGAGTTCACTGGGGAGCTTCAATGAGGGAGTTCACAGGGGAGCTTCAATGGGGAGTTCACTGAGGAAGCTTCAATGAGGGGAGTTCACTGGGGGAGCTTCAATGAGGGAGTTCACTGAGGGGCTTCACTGGGGGAGTTCACTGAGGAGCTTCAATGAGGAGTTCACTGAGGGGCTTCAATGGGGAGTTCACTGAGGGGCTATGGGGAGTTCCTGAGGAGCTTCAATGAGGGGAGTTCACTGAGGGCTTCAATGGGGGAGTTCAGAGGGAGCTTCATGAGGGAGTTCACTGAGGCTTCAATGAGGGTTCACTGGGAAGCTTCAATGGGGAGTTCACAGAGGAGCTTCAATGAGGAGTTCACTGAGGAGCTTCAATGAAGGAGTTCACTGAGGGCTTCACTGGGGAGTTCACTGAGGGGAGCTTCAATGAGGGTTCACTGAAACTTCAATGGGGAGTTCACGGGGAGCTTCAATGGGGGAGTTCACTGAGAATGGGGGTTCTGAGAGCCAATGAGGGTTCACTGAGGGCTTCAATGAAGGAGTTCATGAGCTTCTGAGGAGTTCACTGAGGGACTGAGGAGCTTCACTGGGGAGTTCACTGAGGCTTCAATGAGGGAGCTTCAATGGGGGTTCACTGAGGGAGCTTCACCGAGGGTTCACTGGGGAGCTTCAATGGGGAGTTCACTGGGAAGCTTCAATGAGGGAGTTCACTGGGGAGCTTCAATGGGGGTTCACTGAGGGAGCTTCAATGAGGATTTCACTGGGGAGTTCACTGAGGTTCAATGAGGGGTTCATGAGGGGCTTCAATGAGGGGAGTTCACAGAGAGCTTCAATGAGGGAGTTCACTGAGGGCTTCAATGAGGAGTTCACTGAGGGCTTCAATGAGGAGTTCACTGAGGAGTTCACTGAGGAGCTTCAAGGGAGTTCACTGGGGGCTTCAATGAGGAGTTCACTGGGGAACTTCACTGGGAGCTTCAATGAGGGGGGAGTTCACTGAGGGAGCTTCAATGAGGGCTTCAATGAGGAGTTCACTGAGAGCTTCAATGAGGACTTACTAGGGGCTTCAATGGGGGAGTTCACTGGGGGAGTTCACTGGGGAGCTTCAATGGGGGCTTCAATGAGGGAGTTCACTGAGAAGCTTCAATGAGGGACTTCACTAAGGGGCTTCACTGGGGAGCTTCAATGGGGGCTTCAATGAGGGGTTCACTGAGGAGCTTCAATGGGAGTTCACTGAGGAGGCTTCACTGAGGAGCTTCAATGGGGAGCTTCAATGGGGAACTTCACTGAGAGAGCTTCAATGGGGAGTTCAATGAAGGAGCTTCAATGGGGAACTTCACTGGGGGAGCTTCAGGGGAGTTCACTGAGGGGGAGCTTCAATGAGGAACTTCACTGAGGGGCTTCAATGGGGAGTTCACTGGGGAGCTTCACTGAGGAGCTTCAGTGGGGAACTTCACTGGGCTGTGGGGGTTCACTGGGGGCTTCATGGGGAGCTTCACTGGGGGAGCTTCAATGGGAGTTCACTGAGGTTCACTGGGGAGCTTCACTGGGGGCTTCAATGGGGAGTTCAATGAGGGAGCTTCAATGGGGGAGTTCACTGGGGACTTCACTGAGGGCTTCAATGGGGAGTTCACAGAGAGCTTCACTGGGGAGTTCACTGAGGGCTTCCTGGGGAGCTTCAATGAGGGCTTCACTGGGGGCTCAATGGGGAGCTTCACTGGGGGCTTCAATGGGGGAGTTCACTGGGGGCTTCACTGGGGGCTTCAATGAGGGAGCTTCAATGGGGGAGTTCACTGGGAGCTTCACTGGGCTTCAATGAGGGAACTTCATGAGGGGCTAATGGGGGGTTCACTGGGAGCTTTGAGGGGAGCTTCAATGGGGAGCTTCATGGGGGAGCTTCACTGAGGGCTTCAATGGAGGCTGTGGGGAGTTCACTGAGGGGCTTCACTGAGGTTCACTGGGGGGTTCTGAGGGAGTTCACTGAGGGAACTTCACTGAGGGCTTCAATGAGGAGTTCACTGAGGAGCTTCACTGAGGGAGTTCAGAGGGACTTCACTGAGGGAGCTTCAATGGGAACTCACTGAGGGGCTTCAATGAGGGAACATTAACACCACCAACATGATGCATATACTAACACCACCAACAGCGACCCATACATTAACACCACCAACAGCGACACATGAGGATACATTAACACCACCAACAGCGACACAGGATACATTAACACCACCAACAGAAGCGACACAGGATACATTAACACCACCAACAGCGACACAGGATACATTAACACCACCAACAGCGACACAGGATACAACATTAACACCACCAACAGCGACACAGGATACATTAACACCACCAACAGCGACACAGGATACATTAACACCACCAACAGCGACACACAGGATACATTAACACCACCAACAGCGACACACAGGATACATTAACACCACCAACAGCGACACACAGGATACATTAACACCTCCACCAGCGACACAGGATACATTAACACCACCAACAGCGACATAGATACATTAAACACCGCCAGCGACACAGATACATTAATACCGCCAACAGCGATACAGGATATTAACACCGCCAACAGCGACACAGGATACATTAACACCGCCAACAGCGTAATAGGATACATTAACACCGCCAACAGCGACACAGGATATTAACACCGCCAACAGCGACAGGATATATTAACACCGCCAACAGCGACAGGATACATTAACACCACCAACAGCGACACAGGATACATTAACACCATCAACAGCGACACAGGATACATTAACCTCACCAACAGCGACACAGGATACATTAACACCACCAACAGCGACACAGGATACATTAACACCAACAGCGACACAAGATACATTAACCCCACCAACAGCGACACACAGGATACATTAACCCCACCAACAGCGACACAGGATACATTAACACCACCAACAGCGACACAGGATACATTAACACCACCAACAGCGACACAGGATACATAACACCACCAACAGCGTACACAGGATACATTAACACCACCAACAGCGACACAGGATACATTAACACCACCAACAGCGACACAGGATACATTAACACCACCAACAGCGACACAGGATACATTAACACCACCAACAGCGACACAGGATACATTAACACCACCAACAGCGACACAGGATACATTAATACCACCAACAGCGACACAGGATACATTAACACTCACCACCAGCGACACAGGATACATTAACAACAATTCAACAGCGACACAGGATACATTAACACACCAACAGCGACACAGGATACATTAACACCACCAACAGCGACACAGGATACATTAACACCAATTCAACAGCCAGACACAGGATACATTAACACCAATTAACAGCGACACATGCATATGGCTAACACCACCAACAGCGACACAGGATACATTAACACCACCAACAGCGACACACAGGATACACACAACAAATGCCAACAGCGACACACAGGATACACACTACCACCAACAGCGACACAGGATACATAACACCACCAACAGCGACACAGGATACATTAACACCACCAACAGCGACACAGGATACATTAACACCACCAACAGCGACACAGGATACATTAACACCACCAACAGCGACACAGGATAGACAACAATTAACAGCGACAGGATACTAACACCACCATGTTACACAGGATACATTAACACCAATTAACAGCGACACAGGATACATTGTTAACACCACCAACAGCGACACAGGATATAATAACACCACCAACAGCGACACAGGATACATTAACACCACCAACAGCGACACAGGATACATTAACACCACCAACAACAGCGACACAGGATACATTAACACCACCAACAGCGCGACAGGATACATTAACACCAACAACAGCGACACAGGATACATTAACACCACCAACAGCTGAGACACAGGATACATTAACACCACCAACAGCGACACAGGATACATTAACACCACCAACAGCGACACAGGATACATTAACACCACCAACAGCGACACAGGATACATTAACACCAATTAACAGCGACACAGGATACATTGTTCCACCAACAGCGACACAGGATACATTAACACCACCAACAGCGACACAGGATACATTAACACCACCAACAGCGACACAGGATACATTAACACCACCAACAGCGACAATAGGATACATTAACACCACCAAACAGCGACACAGGATACATTAACACCACCAACAGCGACACAGGATACATTAACACCACCACCAGCGACACAGGATACATTAACACCAATCAACATGACACAGGATACATTAACACCACCAACAGCGACACAGGATACATTAACACCACC